GTTTTAAAGGATTTACAAGAAGTTTTAAAGGGTTTTAGAAGTTTACAAAGGTTTTTGAAGGGTTTACAAAAGTTTTTAAAGGTATTACAAGTTCTTTAAAATGGGTTTTAAGGATTTACAAGGGTTTTTAACGGGTTTTAGAAGGTTACAAAAGTTTTTATTAAATGATTTATCACGGTTATAAGTGGTTTAAAGGGATTTACAAGTGTTTATAAATGTTATAAAATGATTTACAATGGTTTTAAAAGGTTTACTCAAGTTTTGAAAGGTTTTGGATGACTTTTAAAAGATTTACAAGGGTTTTTAAAGGATTTTTTAAGGGATTTATAAATATTTACAAGGTTTTTTTAAGAAATTGCGGAAAAATTTTGGCGGGAAATTTTTTGTCGGAAATTTTTTGGCGGGAATTTTTTTGTCGGAAATTTTTTGGCGGGAATTTTTTTTTGGCGGGAAAATTTTTTTGTCGGAATTTTTTGGCGGGAAAATTTTTTCCGAAAATTTTTGGCGGGAAAATTTGGCGGGAAATTTTTCGGAAGGAATATTCTTTTTGTTGGAAGAATATTCCTTTTTTCATCATGAGTTATAATAAAGGAGGGTAATTTAGTCATTTGTTCATTGAAGAGGGTATTTTTGAAAATGAACACCTAGAGAGGGTACTTGTAGAAAAGGGTATCATAATAAAGGTTAGTTGTGCAAATCTCCCAATTTTATTCATGATTTTATTTTATAATATGTTATATTTGTTTAATTTTTAATTTATGTATGAATGTATTATGCCATTGAGCAATTTCATTGTCTAAAACATAAGGGTGAATAAAATATTTTCGAAAATATTTTTTTTAGCTTAAATTAAAGATAACAAAGTTCAATATAAATTGTAATATAGTAATTTTAAAATATTTTTAAAGAAAATATGTAGTTTTTTATAATTCGTATTTGAAAGATTTTTTTTAATGTTTTCCTCAATAATGCTATAATTTATTTTAGAATCTTTATATTTATTTGTGTTGTTTATATGAATTTATTTACAAATGACTATATTTATATTTAACATCATATTTTAGATTGATGTTAATTTGAAATAACTTTACCA